GTCAACGACGGCAATCTCTGCGAAGAAAAAAGGCCGAAGTGCGACATGGGCAAAATGTCTTTTTTGGCCCTCCCCCGGTAATAACACGCTGGAGCTCGCACATATTTCACGTCTTGAGGACGCGAGAGATTCCCGACTGAACCACTTATTATAAAATAAAAAGAGAAACACATCAAATAAATAGAGAGAAAAGGAATAACAACTCAACGGTTGGAGCCCACAAGGGGTTGCGCAATGTTCCACGCGGCTGAATGGGTTCCGACACAGTGCTCTGCAGCGATATGTAGTGGCTCGTTTCCAAATCCCAATGAGGAAGGTGGAAGCCCTGAAGGTGAGACTAAGCCCTGGAGGGACTTTGGGGCCGGTGAACCATTTGCAACGTGGCAAAAGTTCGAATGTGTGAGATCACAGCAAATGAGCCGCTGTTTAGAGAGCATCATGTTAAGGTGGTTCTAAGGACCAGGTTCAAATAGTCCGTCGACTTTTCCTACAAGCATGAGCACCATCTGCTAGCTAAGCATACGCCATAAGGTTACTGTGGAATGTGCCACCTAGCCAATGGCTTGCATATCTCTAATTTTTCAGAGATTTACAGGATAATCAACCCGTGAGAGGTTTTGACGAGAATCCGCTCTTCGTGAAGAAATTGATGCCAAGAGGAGACATTCTGAACTTGCACGATAGTCACAATCGTCTACTCTGGTATATTGAATATTCGACAATCACTGTAGAGGTAAGTAGATTTTGTAGAGCCTTTTTCTTTTTTCTTTCTTTGCTGGGATTTGTCGTGATTGTGGTGAACGACAAAAATGCTGCAAACGGATTTTGTGAAAAAGAATGATGATGAAGAAGTGAGATCTCTTAGTGAGGACTAGGTGACGCTGTTGAGGTGGGAGGTGTACTGCCAGCGGTGCGATAAGACGTCAAACTTGCCTCAGAAGCCCCTTCTAGTATTCTCAAATTCGCCCTCAGCCTGCATGTGAACGGGTAAGTCGGTGGGCGAAAACGATCTTTTGCAAGGTTCTAGAGCGTTTTTTTGCTGTTTTCATCCTGGATTCGGGTGATCACGTTTCCTTGATTTTGAAGAAACATTTTATCGGTTTTTTAAAAAAATCCGTTCCTTTGAAGGAAGCGATTCGACTTTGGAGGGGTGGTCGAAACTTGTATTAGTTGCACATGAGTGGTTACTTGGTGCCATGATAAGCGTAGTGTGGCGCTTCCGGCGAATGGTGGTTCTGGTTGTCTGAGCGAGGACCTCATTGCTTGAGTTGCGTTACGTCGCACTATTCACGGGGGTGAATTGACTGCTGTGATTCTCCTTATGGAATCATTTCTGTATTTGGTTTGGCTATGTGATCCTTGTCAATGCGTACATATTGCTGTTTGGCCACTGATGACGGCTTTTCGAGCACGTGCGAACCTTCTTTATTTGTCCCCCTGTTATTCCCCGGCGAATGAATGGGATGAGGGTGATAACACTGTTGTATTTTTGACGCGACTTTCTCTACGTTTTTATCCGAAGGGGCGTCCATTTGAGCCCCCTTCCCTTAAACGAATTTCTCGATCGGTTCTTCAATATACGGTCAGGGGAGGTGCACCGTAGCTTGGCTATTCAGTTTTTGTAGTGATGTCTGGGGAGCTTACAGTGCATTACTCACGATCTATCCTTTTTTTGGGATTCAAAAGGTTTGGTCCAGACACAAAGTATGTCTTTTCATCCACGTCTCTTTGGTTGACAGAGGCTCTGTTCGCTAATAGAACGCCCGACGAAGGAACCTGAGATACATGTGTGCGCGCATTTTTGCCCCTGGATGTGTGGCTATGATGTCGTCAGGGTGCAACTTACCCCGACACGGGTTGCCATCGGAAAATAAAGCTCACGTCTTCAATTGTTTAAAGTGATTAGATATTTATGCAATTTCCAGAGCATAGCACATGTACTACAAAGCTCACAGGCATGCAAATATCAATTTTGGCAATTCGAAAATATGCTACGCAAAGTCATGGCACAGGTAGGCGGGCAAATTGCTTCTTATCAGAGTTCAAAAGAAAGTTTTGACGTATTACTTTTATTATGTTTAGTAAGTTTTGAGGTTCTGACCATAAGGTTACTGTTTAACGGCGAATTTTGTTTTGTATCCTTTCTTCATTTTTTTTTTTACTTGTGCATTTTTTTTGCTCTCGTCATCCCCCCACTGTTGTGCTATATTTTGTGATTATGGTTTATTTGTATTATGTACATGTTCTATTTACTATTTCTTCGTTTCAATCTTCTGTTTTATATGTAGTTTAGGTAGTGTGCGTCTATCTGGGAATGACCAGCATTTAGGATATTTTCTTTCGTTGTTCGAACATATAAAAAACAAAATAAATGGAGTGAATAAAACAACTGGCAAAAATATGGAGAGTTAATAATTTTTGTTACATACATGTAGTCAGATGTGCAAACAACTTAATAAATAAGTGTGCCATAAATATTGGAATTAGCGAATAAATAAGTTTATTAACGATGCTTTTTGCTCCATTGTTTTTTGGCAGTGATTACTATAGCTGGAGGGCGGAGCGATTTTGATAAAGTCGTTGGCCGTGATTTGGGTAAGGCCGTTGGGAGGGATTACCTGAGTACTTAAATTTTCCTCCATGTTCTCTACTGCGAGTGATCAGAGCACAGACATTTGGAAAACGGCTCAGCTACAAATCCCAACAAAGGAGGTGAGAGCCCCAGGACTAAGCTTTGGAGGGAGGAGGGACCTCGAAGTGGGTCGGCCAATTATAGTGTGGCAAAAGCTTGAATGTGACGGATCAAAGTAGTTCAATGCCACTTAGGAGCCCTACTGCCGTTTAGGTGAGAGAGCGCAGGCGAGAGCATGAAATTGATGACGTTTGAAGGAACCAGTTCAAGTTGTCCGTTGACCGTTGGGAGGTGATACTAGACCCACCTCCAACAGAATAAGGGGCCGGACCATCAATGACTTCCAGTGACGTCATCAAGGCCGCTACCCCTCCAGCTATCGCCCTCACTGCCTTCAAAAAGAGCAGTTGTTTAATTACAGGAGGAGAAAACTGGACGACTCAGTGGAATACGACATATTATTGATATGACCGGATATGAAATTAACCCCTTTACGATGGTATTTGTTAGCAGCGGAACTCTGGCATATTACTCACAGCTGTTTCATTATGAAAATTATCCTGAACTCGTAAGTTTCCACAGTACTGTCTTATTTTAACCCCATCTGAATTCAAGGTTTGAATACTCAAGCGATAGACATAGTTACTTTACTTTGATACTTTGATAGTCCTTCAGCTGGCGATCTTCTCAGCGGGGACCACAGCTCTTCCATGCTTCCCGGTTTCTGGCAACTTGCATCCAGTGTAGACCGCGTTGTCTGAAATACTTTGAAAACGAGTCGGCCCACCGGGTTTGCGGTCGTCCTAGCGGTCTTTGTTTTGTTTCTTGGGAGCCATTCAGTGACTCGGAGGCTCCATCTGTAGCGGTGGACATAGGAAGCATTAATTCTTTGTCAGTGTTGGTTAGGGTTAGGAGGGAATGCATTCGTGGCAAACTGCCTCCAAGAAGGGTGGCATCACTCACCCACCCGATCAGAGTTCTAAGTGGCGCTCGAATCGCGATTTGAAATTTCACTTTGAATTGCGGGCTAGCAATGCTAAAGGCATTTTGCATCTTCATCTCCATGCAAATAGGTATGCCATTAACTACTGCTGGAAGGCTTGAGGGCTTTAACAGACTGGGGGGGGGGGGGGGGTTCGGATCATTGAAGTGACCCCTGACTTATGCGAGAAGGGAAGAATGCCCAACGTGTCTAGACCGGTGAAGTCTGCACCGAGCATCACCCAGCTTTGTCTAACTACATTCCATCTCTAGGATTCACACCTTTTGAGTTGGACATTTCTGAACGACAAATTCTAGGATGCTGCAAAAGATGAGCTGAGGGGAAATGTCTTTTACATTGAATGGATACCAAATGATTTGTAGTTCATTTTTTTGTTGGACTGGGTTTCGGCTGGATCTCGTGTCCCAGCAGGGTCAGTCCTATCGTTGTTACTTTTTCAAAAATTTTTACGACCCCCTCCCCCAAGGTGGACTTGGTACGACCCCCTTTTCGACCCTCGACCACCATATTCCTCTCTATAGTATTTAATTCTGGTACCACTCAACCCACCAAACTCCGGGTATATACGCGCGCTGAAACGGCGAATTTTTCTCCCGTGCGCTCCCAACTCACCTAGCCTACTACTCGTGAAAACTCGAGTTTCACCACAAACTGAAGCGGATACGACCCCCCTCCCTAACTAAACCAGGTACGACCCCCGTTGGTACTTGTACCACGTAGGGGTTTGCCCTCTCCAGGAGGCAGGGTCAACCGTTACGTTGGACCGATATTGGAGCGACGTTGGACCGATGTTCACCGCTCTCCGCGCCGGCATTCACTCTCGCCACCCGCGAGCCGTCTGTGTCTCCGTGCGTACGTTCACTCTCGGCATTACTCTCGTCGTCGCGTTGGACTTTGTCCAACGGACGGTTGACCCTGGGGAGGTACTAGCTATTATGCCACCAGTTTTTTTTTTCATTTTTTTCATATTTTAAGGTGAATCCAGTCGATATTGTCAATATTGCAAGATGGATTCATGTACCGTACAAAATTGCCAAAACAATGATGCCAGCAGGATTTTCCGACAAATTCCGTCTTCATGATAGCAACTTTCTGAAAGCTTTAACGGAGGAAATCGATGTGAACCACATACCGACCACACTGGGTGGATGCCATGAGGTGAATTCAGGACTTCATAAAAATTACCTGAATTTATCTTGTCAAAATTCAAATAATAAAAATTCTTGTTCAGGGTATTACTTGTATCGGTGCCGAAAAAGTGCCTCCTTCCGAATACTGGTCACCCAAGAATCCCGATCTCTTACATGATCTAGAACATCTCCATATCCCTGCAAAGAAGACTCGTCACATAACAGTGGAGATTTGTGAACCGAAAACATTGCGATGGTACTATCGAACAGATGGTGACGTCTACTTCGGAGTGTTTTTTGAGGTAAGCCTTTGAAAGTATACGAAAAGCATCTACAGTGGCGGTTTCTTCCTGGCGAAAAGTAAGTCTTCGCTTTCTTCTCATTCCACTGGGCCACAGCCGGGTTTTTTCCTTCTCAAGTAAAGAACTGCTCCTGCCATTTAATCGGTTTTGGAGCACGAGCAGTGACGTAACGGCTGAGATTTGTAAATCGAAATGTGTTGTTTGTTTTGTTGGGAGGCGGGGCTAATGTGGAGCTGTCATTGGTGGGAGGAGATTGACAGGCCACACCTTCTGAGTAGCTCCGCCTCCTAGTCACCTCCTCCTGTCGGAATTAGGCTCTACGGCCGCACAGAAGTATGAATTATTTGTTGTCGAACAGCTTTTTTGGAGTTATTCCTTTTTTCTGGCCACGTTCTTTCTCTTTTTTTCGACAGCAATGAACAAGCAGGCAATTGAAATTTCAAACCAAAGCTTAAAAAATACAAGCGTCCGCCGTGCACTGACACATCACATGCTGGGTAACGCTAACAAGTGTGCTCACCAAGCATTCTCAGCGAGCTTCATATTCGAAATTGCTCACTTCTTACGCTACCTTATGCTAATTGCATGGTTCTCATTATTAGGTCGGTCCACAATTTTTGAGAACCTTTGGTGTTTTTCGATTTATTACTTATCTTATTTCTCTGATCTACTTATCCAGCATAGTATACATCATTATTATTAACAACATATCGCCAATGCGAGGGTGGGTATTCAGTGCCTCTCTTGTGGACTTTCATAGAGTTCTGATCGAAGGAAAATTGTAGTCCCGAATCAGTTCTCAACCCAATCTGACATCATCAAGTTCCTGTTGGTTTCCTATAGTTCCTTCGGATGACCATCTATAATACTCATTGGTGATGTGGACTGGGTGCAGTGTGCTAACAAATCCACGAGCCGCAGTAGATTTGCTCAAACGATTCGGGAGTTCTGACAGTAAAACCCAACTCCCTCTGAATTCGAACTTCCTGAGTCGTTGGCGCAATACGGGAGGGCCTTTGCGCTGAAGACCGGCATCAACTAATACCAGTGTCAGTGATGGGAAGAATCGTTGACAGCTTGATGGCAACGCCTTCAACTTGAAAGCAAAGGAAGACAAAATCTATTTTTCTCTGAGGTCGTTCGAGCCCGCCTTGCTAAGAAAATTCCTAAAAAATTGGAGACTCTCAGTTCTTTTAGCTCCGCCTTGTAGCACTAATCCTGCTCAACGAACGACTATCCGCTCTCCTCTCTCAATCACCTTCTGGAGAAGAAATCTCACTTGAATCACCATAAAGTCAAAATCGACATCCAATATTTCTTCGATCAGAACTCTATGAAATTCTACAAGAGAGACACTGAATACCCACCCTCGCATTGGTATATATGTATACCAGTTTTGCTCCGCCCGCTATCGCGCGCATCACACGGCAGGCTTTAGCGAAACTGGAGGACCCATGGAATATCAGCATGAGGTACTCCATTAACCACCTCACTATTGAATGTGTTAGACCTTTCCCAGTTTCGCTGAAGTCCATCGAGAATACGCGTGATAACGTCTGGAGCTGAACTGGCATATTTATCTCACAACTGTAAACATCCACCATTCTTCCTTGAATTCAGATAATTTAGCGGTGAATAGGATTGCTGTCAGTCTCGAAATGAAAATGAAATATGCCTATGTGAGGAGCTAAGGCTTATCATTTATTTACATTCACCATTATTTAGAACCCCGAAAGGATTAGCGGTTTAATGAGTTTGGGCTTTCTTGATAGGAATGAAAGTTATCATTTGCTGAAGACTTGATTGAATTCATGCAATAGACTGCTATTAAGTAGGCTGGTCATACAATGATACATGTGCACGTACCACTACAAATAGAATTTGTAAGTAGGGACGCTCTAGTGTCAGCGCAAGCTGCGTAACGGAATCGACGACTTTTGCGTTCTGACGCCCTTATCAGCCCTTATCAGTTGTAACCACTTTCCATCACCTACCAACAATGTCCCCGTCCCACCCCACATGACACCTGCGAGTATGGACGCTCTAGTGTCAACGCAAGCTGCGTAACGGAATCGACGACTTTTGCGTTCTGACGCCCCTTATCAGCCCTTATCAGTTGTAACCACTTTCCATCACCTACCAACAATGTCCCCGTCCCACCCCACATGACACCTGCGAGTATGGACGCTCTAGTGTCAACGCAAGCTGCGTAACGGAATCGACGACTTTTGCGTTCTGACGCCCCTTATCAGCCCTTATCAGTTGTAACCACTTTCCATCACCCTACCAACAATGTCCCCGTCCCCCCCACATGACACCTGCGAGTATGGACGCTCTAGTGTCAACGCAAGCTGCGTAACGGAATCGACGACTTTTGCGTTCTGACGCCCCTTATCAGCCCTTATCAGTTGTAACCACTTTCCATCACCTACCAACAATGTCCCCGTCCCACCCCACATGACACCTGCGAGTATGGACGCTCTAGTGTCAACGCAAGCTGGGTAACGGAATCGACGACTTTTGCGTTCTGACGCCCCTTATCAGCCCTTATCAGTTGTAACCACTTTCCATCACCTACCAACAATGTCCCCGTCCCCCCACATGACACCTGCGAGTATGGACGCTCTAGTGTCAACGCAAGCTGCGTAACGGAATCGACGACTTTTGCGTTCTGACGCCCCTTATCAGCCCTTATCAGTTGTAACCACTTTCCATCACCTACCAACAATGTCCCCGTCCCACCCCACATGACACCTGCGAGTATGGACGCTGTAGTGTCAACGCAAGCTGCGTAACGGAATCGACGACTTTTGCGTTCTGACGCCCCTTATCAGCCCTTATCAGTTGTAACCACTTTCCATCACCTACCAACAATGTCCCCGTCCCACCCCACATGACACCTGCGAGTATGGACGCTCTAGTGTCAACGCAAGCTGCGTAACGGAATCGACGACTTTTGCGTTCTGACGCCCCTTATCAGCCCTTATCAGTTGTAACCACTTTCCATCACCTACCAACAATGTCCCCGTCCCACCCCACATGACACCTGCGAGTATGGACGCTGTAGTGTCAACGCAAGCTGCGTAACGGAATCGACGACTTTTGCGTTCTGACGCCCCTTATCAGCCCTTATCAGTTGTAACCACTTTCCATCACCTACCAACAATGTCCCCGTCCCACCCCACATGACACCTGCGAGTATGGACGCTGTAGTGTCAACGCAAGCTGCGTAACGGAATCGACGACTTTTGCGTTCTGACGCCCCTTATCAGCCCTTATCAGTTGTAACCACTTTCCATCACCTACCAACAATGTCCCCGTCCCCCCCACATGACACCTGCGAGTATGGACGCTCTAGTGTCAACGCAAGCTGGGTAACGGAATCGACGACTTTTGCGTTCTGACGCCCCTTATCAGCCCTTATCAGTTGTAACCACTTTCCATCACCTACCAACAATGTCCCCGTCCCACCCCACATGACACCTGCGAGTATGGACGCTGTAGTGTCAACGCAAGCTGCGTAACGGAATCGACGACTTTTGCGTTCTGACGCCCCTTATCAGCCCTTATCAGTTGTAACCACTTTCCATCACCTACCAACAATGTCCCCGTCCCACCCCACATGACACCTGCGAGTATGGACGCTGTAGTGTCAACGCAAGCTGCGTAACGGAATCGACGACTTTTGCGTTCTGACGCCCCTTATCAGCCCTTATCAGTTGTAACCACTTTCCATCACCTACCAACAATGTCCCCGTCCCACCCCACATGACACCTGCGAGTATGGACGCTCTAGTGTCAACGCAAGCTGCGTAACGGAATCGACGACTTTTGCATTCTGACGCCCCTTATCAGCCCTTATCAGTTGTAACCACTTTCCATCACCTACCACCAATGTCCCGGGACCACCCACATAACACTTGTAAGTATGGACGCTCTAGTACCAATATGAACGACAAAACGAAATTGGCGATGCTCGCTTTCTAGCCCCTCTTATCAGCTATTATCAGTCGTTATCAGTTCCTATCACGTACCACTTGAGTCCCCATCCCACCCCCTATAACATATGTAAGAACCATGGCGCTATCGTTGCTGTGACCCGAGCTACGAATTTCGTGACAAACACACACACACACACACAGACCTACACACACACACACAGACATACTTAGCGAATTATATATAGTAGGATAGCAAAGGATCATTCGCTTTCACTCACATTGCTATACACATCATATCCACTCATGTCCTTTGAACCAGAATGAGGAGAAAAAATGTGCGCTAACCATAATGGGTGGTTAGCAGTTAAACCCTCTGTGGCACGAATCTTATTGTAATGCACATCTGAAGAAGCCTAGCCAGGCCTACCCGTTTCTAGGCCTCCATATTCTGCGCGCATCCAACTGGCCACTTCTTCTGCTGGCCTTTATCCAAGTTCTGTTCCATCCCTCTCAATGCAGGGCATGCCAATCCATTCCCGTTGACCGTGCGCACTGCCGTTAGATCTCGTCTGGTCACTGAATAGGGAGGTCTACCGGATTAGTTCGAAAGGCAGAATTTACGATGAAAAGTTAGCTCATTGGAAATAAGGGTAGAGGTGGTCAGTGGAGCAGGGATGAAGAAGAAACCATTTGAAACGGCCCGAAACCCGAGAAATGGGACCCCTTCCTTGCCCGTTGATTTGCGCATTGATGCGACTCTCATCGCTGTGCCCTCTTCAACACTACGCTCTCTCTGCTATCTAATCACTCGCCACGTATAGACCTGCGGCGAGTGATTAGATAGTCGGTGGGCGTACCCCGCCAACCGCGCCAAGAGTGAGCCATGCTAGATCGCCGAGGTCAATGCAATTGCGTGTCGGTCAGCACCCTCAGGGTCCGCCTGTCTTCAACTAGGTAAATTACTCCTTCTTCGACCTTTGTTCTTATCGTGCAATCCGTCTTTGAGCCATTGAAGCTGATATCTTTTTTAATGCTGCATCACTCAGCGAATTTACTTTCATTTTCGTCCGC